AATCACTGTCCTTACCACCGTCACTGTCGCTGTCACCACTACCACCGATGAACTGGTACATTAAGTGGGTCAAATAAACTATAATAAGCCTCAGTTTTGGTCTGGTTTTGCTGCCAAATCTCATAAATTTTTTTTTTTTTTTGGTTGTTTGAAGAGCTCAGCGTTGTGGCTCGGGCTGCACGCCGTCACCAGGGGCTCGTTCCCCAGCTTCTGGCTCGTGCTGTGCACCAGGGAGGGCTTTGCAGGGTCTTCCTGGCGGCTGTAGTGGACACACTCGCCTCCCTTTTTGTTGTCCACTCACCACCCATCCACTTAGCGTGGTCATCCGTGGTCACTCAGTCATGGCCAATCACAGTCACCCGTGGTCACTCAATCACGGCCAATCACAGTCACCCGTGGTCACTAGTGGTCTCTCATGATGACTTGTGGTCACTTGCCGCCAGCCACAGTCACTTGCGTGTCCCCATGGTCACTGGTGGTCACTTGGGGTCACTCACGGTCCTTCACACTCACTGGCGTCACTGTGGCCGTCTGTGGTCACCTGAGGTCACTCACACAGGAAGCAGCACCCACGCACTTCGTCATCCTCACCCGCTGCTAGGACCGTCTGAGGCACCACAGCCGCCCACAGGAGCTGAGCCGAGTGTGGTGACAGTGGTAGACACTCTGCTGTGGGACACCCATGCCAGGCAACCTCCCGCCTTTACAGCTTGGCAAGGCGTTGTTTTCCGTGTGACTCCCTGAGGTGGGGGACATGATGGTGGGGTGCTGGGGTCCCCAGTAACCAGCCCTGCCCACCTCCTCTCTTGAAGCCATCAGCCTCTGTGCGCAGCATTCTTGGCCCACCTCCTGTTGGGGTTTATGGGTTTGAGGGGCCCAGATGCCCAGCCCATCACTGCTCAGGGGTATCCACGCTGTTCAGTGTTACTTTCTGGTCCTGGGGTTCCCTCAGGGTGGGGAGCACAGTCTGGGGCAGGGGACCCAGCTATAGGTCCCCTCCACCCCGCCCAGCCTAGCAGCCACCTAGTCAGGCTCCCTTCGGAAGCTCAGGCTGCCCCCTGCTGGATACACGGGGAAGAGGCGCGGGCCGGCATCTCCCTGTGGGAAAGGAGTTGTGAGCATGCGCTCTCCTCACAACCAGGCAGCGGCCGAGCGGTGGGGAGGTGGACGGGGATGGGGTGTGGACAGAGAAGGGAGGGGCCTGGCATCTATCCACCACCCACTGGACACAGGAGGGGTGGCCGTGGGCCCCTTACACCTGTCCCATGGGTGATCTCTCCAGCAACCCCCCCACACCTGTGGCCAGAGGGGATCTCCAAGGCCCAGGGACAAGAAGTGCCCTAGTGGTGGACAGAGGGTGTCCTGGGACCCAGGACTGTCGGCCTCTAACTCCACCTGCCTCATTGCTCAGCCCTGCCCAGGACTGGGTGGGAGTGGGGGATGGGAGGAGTGATGGATGGGAGTGGTAGTGGATGGGTGGTGGCAGTGGGGTGGGGGATGGGAGTGGTGGGGTGGGGGTTGAGGGTGGCAGGAGCTGGGGGTGGTGTTGCTGAAAGCTGTGACAGGAGGGTGGGGCAGGGGTCCAGAAGGAGACCCAGGCAGGAGGTGGGAGCCCCCAGGCCCGAGGCTGCCCTCCTCTGTCCTCCTTCTGTATCCTTTTTAATGTTTCAGATTTTAAAAACACCATTTGTTGACTCGTCCCCTCCTGAATGGGACTCAGCCACCACAAGGATGTCAGGTGCGTTTCCGCCAATGGTTTGGAAACAGGAAATGAAGTAGGGCGCATCGAGCATTGCAGGCTTCCAGAATGTCCCCCATCATCCACCCTGAGGTGGGAGGCCTGAGGCTGCTTGACCACTGGCCTGGGAGTCCAAGGCTCAAGGGGCCGACTGCTGACAACCAGGCTGCCAGGCAGGGCTGGAGCTACAGCGCCCACTGGGCCTCGCTACCCTCTCATACTCCTCCCTGGGGAGAGAAGCTAGAGGGCAGCTGGCCGGGCTGAGGCTGGGCTTTGCACAGAGGAAGTCCACACCAAGAGAAGACGTGGGTTTTTTATTCTTTTTATTGAAGAAAAGAAAAGGAGAGAAAAATAGATGCCCCACCCCTGCTCCTCCTGGAGTGGGCTTTGAGTCCTGCCCCTGGGGCCGCATGGGTGAGAGGGCTGTGCTCTCGGCCTGGTTCTGGGGGGCCCAGGGCCCTGGAAGGGAATGGGGGCTGGCTGCTTCCTGGGCGGGGGGGAATGTCTAAAAAACGGAGCCAGGCTGGCCGGGCCAAGCAGACAGGTCCTCCGCAGCGGCAGCTCGGCGGGCACCCGGGGACGCTGGCCACACCAGGCCTGTCCACTGTCCGCACCGCCGCTGCCCACCCCCAGGGCTCGCCCGAGGGGGGCAGAGTATGAGGCACCTCCGGCCTCTGGAGCCCCGTGCCACTGCCGCCGGGCCGCCTCCTGTGTCGCCCGGCTCTGGTCCCTGCACCCGGCCGGAGCCTGGCTGGCGTCCGAGCGCCCCGGGCCCCGCGGGCCGGGCCCGCCGAGCGTGTCTGTGCCCGTCCTCCGAGCGGGCAGAGCAGCATCCCTCCGGTGGCCGGTGGTGGCCGCCCTCAGACCTCGGTCTGCAGGTCGATGACGTCCTGGCCCACCAGCGGGATGGCAGTGCCTGTCTTCTCCCACTCCACGCTGCGCAGCTCCAGCGGCGAAGGCGGCAGCGGCTCCAGCTCCTTCTTCACCCAGGCGGGTGTCCCATGCGCCTTCCGAAGGCTCTCCCAGGGCCTCTTGTTGGGGGTCTGCTGCTTCTCCGGCTGCTCGCCGGTGGGG